CGTAAATATTACTGACCGCAAAAGACGCTCATCGCGAAGTGTCTTGTAATGTTAATAAAATAAGATATTCTGATGAGTGTTGTGTGTTATTTTAATTGATCAACTCATTAAAGATTAAATCTTGCTAAAAATCGGGGTAGGATGTGTTCAAAACAAGAAAAATACTTTTATATAGTTCCGCGGCAGAAACGCTGAGAAAAATGGTAGAGGATGGATATTTAGCCTTCAGAGGCTAGTTATGCGTCACAAGACACAGGTCTGTGCAGAATAGCGCCACCTGTGTTGACACAATGTGTTAATGATTTATCGGCAAAGTTAATTGTTAACTGGTTTTAAATCAGGGGGGAAGCTTGAGGGTGACTCCTCAACCCAAAGGTCTCATTTGCATATTTATATTTACCTGTTTCTTACTTAGGTCTCATTTGCCTTTTTATAAACTATTTTATAAGCCATGGCGACCATGCTATCCGTGTGCACATGTACAGTAGAATCTCTCCAGTATGGGCCCCACCTTCTAGCCGCAAGAATCACTGAGAGAACCTCCTTATGATTAATATGGAGTGGGGTAGCTGTTGACCAATCATGGTGCCAGATAGTAAACTGCCAATCCCCCCTGTGAAAAATGCCTGAAGCTTGATTAGAGGCATCCATATGGACATCAGTAATGGGGCGGGGGTCGATGAACTTAGTAGCACCATTGAACAGGGGAAGGCATTCTAACCACCATTGGATGTCGCGATGGAAGTCCGAAGACAAAAGCAGCTTGTGTGACGGGCAGCGTAATTTGTGAAGCTGGTCGAGGATGCGTCGGAGGTAAGACATCCCTGATGCAATTTCAAGACTTCACCAGCCAGGCCAGGTCCACCGCCTTCATTCCCTTATCGCCCCCTACTGCCTAGCTTGGGATTTCATAAACTCGTTCCCCAGGCACATGTCTCACACAGCTGTCTCTGTGCTCTCTCCCCAGATCAAGAATTATGTAAACTGGAGGAACAGTTAGACCTTGAGACAGCGTTCTATAGGGGTCATACCTTCGCGTCAACCACTAAAAGCACTTATGCCGTCCATCGTAAGGCCTTTCTGGAATTCTGTTTGAAATTCAACTACAACCCAGTACCAGTTGATCCTGTGGTGCTTTGTCGGTATGTTTCCCATTTGGCGCGCCGTCTCAAGGTGAATTCTATTCGCCAATATTTGAACATCATTCGCATCCTGCACTCTGAGTGCGGATTTCCTAACCCACTTTCTGATAACTTCACCCTTTCAACACTGCTCAAAGGTGTGGCAAGGGTAAAAGGCACTAAAATCCAACGTAAATTGCCAATTACCCCAGCCCTGCTCTTGGGCATT